AGGTTTGGTGCCTACCGTAATTCGCATTTGGTTGTACTTTGTGTGGGGGTGTGTTCGAGCAACTCGCTCGCTACACGACGAGGTACCAGGAATCTGATTTACATCTTGGCCTTTATTCTTCTTAATCTTCTTACAACTTCTGCTTACTTTACTTCTACTCTACTTCTCCTACATCTATTCCCCTCCACTTCTAGTATAGTAGCGGTTTTTTTTAATAGCCAAAGCTGGACATGTTTGGGTTAGTTGACCGGAAGAGTTTCTGTTGTATTTCTTATCGCTAACACTGCAACAGGTTTGCTATTGTCAGGGAATAGATTAGCCTACGCACAGCCGCAGCTAATAAGTACCAAATAACGAAGGTCAGCTCTAACACCACAAACACGACCACCTGTAACATTCCTAATATGGCAATAAGTAAATTCGCGAGCTAAGCATAACTTCAACTACAAGTAAAAACTAAAGATCAAAACAAGAAAACAGTACGTGGACAAAAACAAGACTTAATGAAACAAAAACTAAACTTAAAAGTTAAGATAGATCCGTCTTAAAAATTACTTTCAAAATACTTCACAACATTTGGTCAGAGGTGACGTTTTTTCGCCCGTTTTTTAGTGTAACATTTGCATTTGCTTCGCTTTGTCAGCGCTTGTGATTTCATTTACCCAAAAATTTTATTTCGCTAATTTGAAGAAAAAAGACTGCTCTTTCAGACTAAACAAGCCTTGGTGTTCAAAGCCATGTACCAATCCGCTTTTTTAGCTCGTGAAAAAGTGCTAAATTTTGACGGTTGATTAAGCGGTTTTGAGTCAACAACTCTAAAAATTTCTTAAAAAATCTCTTGTTGACCAAATCGCAAACTAATCAGTTAAAATTATAGAGGAAAGATAGGAAAAATATGAAGTGTCATTATATCTTAGTAGCCAACGTTATTTAAAATGTACGAGTTACTGAATATGACTCTAATTTCGCATGATTTTTGCCCATTTTAGGCCTCGGGAAGAAAAAAATTCGTTAAAAAAATTTTTTTCACTCGATCGAACTTAAACCAACGATTTTGTAACTAAGGCCCATAGGGCTTTAATCTGGCTGAGTTTGAGGCCAGGTCATTTTTTGACTATTTCCACGTCTAGTTGATATTTACGCGGAACTGCTCTTAAGCATATTTAAAATCAGGGGCAAAGCCAGCCATTTTTTCTATTTAAGCCCGATTTGAAGAGGTCCTGAGAAAGCGAGGGAGGAGAGATTCATTCATTCATTCAGTCGTTCGTTCCTTCGTTCGTCCCTCCCTCTCTCCATCCGTCCATCCATCCATCCATCCATCTATCCATCCATTCATCCATTCATTCAGAGCGTCGTAAAACTTTGGAACTTGAATGTAAACCGTGCTGGTATTGGTTCTACATGGCGATAAAAAAATAAAAATAAAAAAATTGAGATCTCCTAGTATTATGTATTTGGTTGTTCATTGAAAAAACGTTATTGCATTTTGAAAAGAGTGAAAACATAAAAAGGCCTAATTAAAACAAGTGGATTTCTTGACATTTCAAGAGCTTTTGCTCCTTGAAGATCGGGTCAGTATGGGCTTCGTACCTAGATTTTCTTACTTATTGCCTATGATGTGTTGAGGACTTAGTAGAAAGCCAAGTTATCGCCTAAGCCATAAACAGTTTTCAGAGGGAACATGAAGAACAGCGGGTCATCTTTGCTCAAAAATGTTGTGTCAAAAGAGTAATTAGCAGTGATTCGTCAACGAACGGGTTCTTTTAGTTAAAAAAAATAACCGTGTCACAGTCACACCTTGATAAACAGTTTTTGAATTCTTTATAAAGAACTCTGTTACACTCAAGTACATCTCCTAAGGTCAATAGGGACGTGAGTGTCTCTTTAGCACTGAATGTCTCGCTTGTGTGTACTTGAACTAGGGATTCCATCAATATCGACGATCGTGCGTATATATTATTATATCTCAGAAAAACGAGTACTCCGAGAGTAAAATGGCAACTTTCTCAGGTCTTTGTAAGGTTTTCAGCTGTTTCGTCCTTATTATCTTCTAAGGAAGAGATTCTAATTTGTCACAGAAGAAGGATGAGAGGCAGCCCGGTTCAATTTAGATTTAGCGAGAATACGGCTCTTCCGACTATGAAATTTGAGTTACTCTGTTTGCAAAATAGAATTGCAGAGCAAAGCTAGTTCTTAAAGAGATACAGTCAGCTGATGCAGATGCGCATTAGATGCCATTTCTTAGCTGATTTGCATGTTAGACGACGCGCATGAAACAGAAGTGAGAAGCGTATCCGGAATACTCTAAGCAAACCTTGTAGAGTTGAACTAGTTACAAGCCGAAGTGGAGATTATAGACCCTAAGCCATATCAGAGCAGTCATTTTTTATATATATATATACCATTGAGAATTCACCGATGGATTTGTCCAGACATCGACGAATACTTTCGAACGTTAGTAGAGGTGAGAAATTACGCGAAGTCTGAATCATTGTCGAAGGTTCAAGGCCGAGAAAGATTGATTTTCCACGTACACGTAACTACTTACATCGATTTTCCAAATATATATATAAAGTGATTATTTGCTAGCCAGTGTATTTGATTCATTTCTCTTGTTATTCAGTTGGTAAACGAAGGCGATTCCTCCCGCCCGGCGCCTACGCGTGTTCATGTTCCTTTGGATACTGTTTTTAACCAAATATGATAAAATATTGTAAAACAAAGAGGATTTCAGTAAAAGGTCGAGGATCGAATAAAACAGTACGCAAGACTGAGCGGATTTCTAGATGTATCCGACCCGTACATTTAATTTCAGGTTGAGATAAACGCTTTTCAAACTTGCAAAACTAGTGTCCAGGTCAGCGCGGTCCCATAGCTCACTGTGTCCCTTTAAATCGATTTTCAAGTAAAGCAAACTAAAGTAACGAACCATTTAAATGGAATATTTTCTTCGAAATTGCGTTTTACATCATCAATGCAGAATAAACATAGTTACCTAGAGCATGAAATGAAATATTTTTTTTAAGGCATTCGCTAAGGAGCCAAAAAAAGTGGTGGCCATGTGAACACACCCATTCTTTTTTAAGTACCCACGCTGGAATTCGGGCACCACGGTGCCGGTGCCCGAGTACAAGGACGAGCTCGGGTAAAAATTAGGCACCGGGAAAAAAATTGTAACTTGACATTTCTTTACCCACGGAGCATTTAGGAGTTCTTAAGAAGTCGTCGAAACGTGTCTGTGCGTTCCAGATGGAAATGGAATTTGGAAGTGTTTATTTTTGAGGAGAGGGAAAACCGAAATACACGGAGAAAAACCTCTCGGAGCAAGGACGAGAACCAACAACAAATTCAACCCACATACATGTATGGCGTCGACGCCAGGATTCGAACCCGGACCACATTGATGGGAGGCGAGTGCTCTCGCCTCTGCGCCACTCCGCATTTTTGTTAGTTCTGAAGCAGTCCACTGCTTTGTAGCCGCTGCTAAGCTTAAGTTTCAAACTGGCCACTGACCGAGTTTTAAAATTACAGCGTCTTGTCAAACAAATATATCTCTAAGCATCATATCAAACGTTACACAAAACAAAAATGAACTTTGAAGAACCGTTAGCGGCTAACAATTCAGTGTAAAGCCGTTTCAATCTTCTTCAAGTTACTTTGCTCATCCGTTTCTCCTTTTGTATTTCCTGTGTTATCCATATCCACAATTTTTCATGTTTCTTTTTTTTTTAAGATGTTTTGAGCGGTTTATTTTATGTTTTACTCAGTTTGGTGATGGTTCCCACGGTTCGAGTTTTGATTAATTTAGTGACACAGCTCCTTTAACTATTCCTATGTGATCAGATACTTCAATCTTTTCTTTTCTATTTCAATGCAAAGTTCGTTCCACAGTTAATAAACCCAGGAGTATTGTGATTTACATATCTGTTGGTGCTGCTTTCGCTGTGCTGCTGTTGGGTGCTGCTATTTTCATCTGGTGCTACCGGAGAAGGCGAAAAAAGGAGGCTTATAGGTTTGTAAAGTTCTACGTGCTTACGCATACAAACAGGAGCCCATGAGCCGGAGCGAGCAACTTCCATGCGCTTTTGTGACGGTGTTTTCACGGACCAGTTTATTTTTAGAAAGCTTTTGGACGAATGTTGAATATTTTTTTAAATTTCATAAAACCAGTCAGCAAAACCTACAGACCTAACAATGATATTTTCTGCCTTTTAATACATTTAGTTTTCCTTTTTGATATCTTATACTTCGAATGGGCTTACAGATATGGTGAAGATTTTATTTTCGCAGGAAAAAGTGCCCTAAAATGTGTCTTAAAATAAACTGGTCCGTTAAAACGCCGTGACATAGGCCTAGTATGAGAGTTGCTCTCTCCGGGTTATGGGCTCCCGATAAAAACATGCTAAAATTACGACAGCTATGTTTACGTAATGTGGTACCTTATTGATACTTAATTTCTAGGGTACTTGAATTCGAGCTTTTGGCGAGACAGTACTTCGCGGGGTTTTATTTTCGCGATTTCAATAGGCAACTATGAAAAAAGGGTGTTAAATTTCGCGATTTACCAGTTCTCGACTATATTAAAGTCTGAACTATTAAAAACTTCTATACAATGGATTTGTACTAGTCTCAGATCAAATGATAGTTAGGTTCCCTACCGGCATATTTGAAATCTTTACCATTTAACGTAACGTTTTATGGAACTTACCTGTAAAACCAGTTAACAATTTGGGTATGTGTCGATACATATCTTGCTGCATCTGTTGGTGGTACTACAAGTTATTAATTTTTTTCTGGGTTTTAGTTCGCGTGTTTAAATTTCGCGAGGATTTTTATTCGCGGGTCTTTAATTTCGCGATTTTTCTACAATCGCGAAAAACACGAAATCTAAATTTCCTACCCAGATCTCAATCTGTCTTACGCTGAACCCTTGGCCGTGGCTAATCTGAGTACGAGATGAGCTGATTGCAAAAGAAAGAGTGTTTTATTGTCTTCCTTTTTTTTTCAGATCATATCTTTCACAGCGACCGATCAATCCCCTGGACCAGTGGGAAATTCTTCGCGAGCAAATAGAATACGAAGGGGAGCTGGGCCGAGGAGCGTTCGGTGTGGTTTACAAAGCAATGCTTTGGGAAAGAGTTGGGATAGAGGTGTTTAGCATAGAGATTTCAAAACGGAAACTGTTATCCAGCAAGACGGAGCCTCGGGTGGTTGCTGTCAAGGTTTTACTTGGTGAGACTAAAAACGAAATTAATGCATGACCATACAAATAATAATAAAAAAATGTTTTCATTTTCTCGTTATATTACCAGCTCTAGGCAGGTCTTTCGGAATTACTACTTATGCCCTAGATGCAAGAACCGAGTTACGACATTTGTAAAGGAATAACTTTTATTTTAAAGCCAAAGCTCTAGAATCATTCAAGTGAATGAACACAACAACTTGAACACAAACACGAAGCCTCAAGCTAAAAAGAAACGATTTTTAAAGTCATCCCAGACGAGAAACGTCAGTGGAGGAAAAAGATGCAGATAATATAAGGAAAGTACTTTGTAAATCATTCATTCAGTTGTTTTAAGAATTAATTGTGTTGTTATAAGTAACGAGTGGACTGTTTTGGTCCGCTCCGGTTATTCTTTGTTGCTGTTGAAGTGAAAGGTCTAGAAATATAACAAAACACTTAATGTCAGGTCCCTCGGGAAACCAGTTAGTTTTGTTTTCCCTCGAGTCCTAATGTTTCCCGAGACGAAGTCGAGGGAAACATAAGGATTCTCGGGAAAACAAAAGTAACTGTTTCCCTCGTGATCTGACATTAACGTTCGATGTTGTCGTTATAATCGTAATAAAGCATAACCACGCGCTTCTAAACAATCTTTTAGTACACATGCTTGGTACGGAAAAGGCTCATTTCATCACAAGATAAAAAATTATTGGCACCTAACGTTGTGCATGACATTATCCATATGGTTGGGTTTCGCCACTTTACAAACAAGAAGGAAACTGGGCCGAGTCAACTTGCGCAAAGACTGCTGGGACTGTTACTTGGAAAAGGGGAAAAATGGTCAATAGCTGACCTGCGCGTGCGCATCCCCAATAACGATCCCCGAAGCCTTTGCGAAAGCTAACTCGGCCCAGTCTCCTCCCCGTTTCTAAAGTGGAAGTCGAATTTAACAGAAGAAGTACCGTGCCAATACGTTCTGATGTGTTTAGATAATCCTAGCGCAGCACAGAAAGAAGAATTCCAGTTTGAGATCGAGCAGATGAAGCAGTTGGGTTCACATCCGAACGTTGTTTCCTTTGTTGGTTGCTGCACGCTTCAGGATGAAAAGTTCCTGGTGATAGAGTATGTTCCTTTTGGGGATCTGCTGACATGGTTACGCTGCAGAAGGAACAGGGTGAGAAAATGAACAAATTTCTGCAATGTACTTTGAACTAGGGTTACTGAAGAAAAAAGGAAAAGGATTCGCCTCTTTGGAAACATGAAGGAATATTCCCAGTTTTCCCCTTTTTCGATTGCAAAATATCAAGCATTTTCGCGTCATTTCATCCTTATTTCTCCCACTTCCCACCCCATTACAGCACCCGCCTCCCGCCCTTTCCTCTCCCTCCTGCCCCCCCATTCTCCTGGGTTCGCCCCACACTTGTCCTCCTCAATTTTTAGCTCCCAGTTCTCATTTCAGAACGTTATGGAGCTAGAAGCTTTAGCTTGGACCCATTTGTTAATAACTATTACGTTTTGCTGTGTGAACAAAATATGACGCTATACTTAGCCTTAGAGTAGCCAAAGCGAGGTGTTTTCACTTTTTGATGTTGCTGAATCTTGTAGATCTACACACGCCAAACCTCCAGGAAAATCTACGACGACAAAGTGGGTTTGAAAGATGACGGAAACGCCAAAAATCAGGTAGGGGTAAACTAAACGCTATATTCGAATGGTCTTAAAATTGCAGTCAGAAGTTTTAAGCTTATGTGTAACTAAATTACATGCTTTGATATCAATAAGTAACATGTCCAGGAGGACAATAAAACGGTTTTTGTATGCGATAAGCATGGCTTAGCCTGTAGAGTGTCGAGTCAGTGAGTGGCTTAGACAGACCATTGGGGCTTATCATGTTGACAGTGCCATATAAAGTCCATTTTCGCGAGCATCTATCCGTATCCTACAGTCCAAAGCCCAGGATTTCGGATTTCTCAAGCACAAAATTTTCCAAGATTTCGGAGTCCATAAGCTAAAAATTCCCCGGTTTCCGAATTCTGAAATCCCGATTTCCTTACATGCAGCGAACTCTTCCCCCGCAGGATAAGGGATTCAAAACTAACAGCGACGAACAGCCAACAGTCCCTTCCGCATCGATGGAAAATCAGCACAGTCAGCACGCCCCCGCCCTGTTAGCCTCAACGGAAAGTTTGGCCGAAGATCTCACTGATGACGAGGCGTCGTTTTCCACCGATCAAAACATCTTTTCATTTGTTCAGGAAATGGCGAAGGGAAAGGTAATAATATATATATATATATATACCTGGTTTTTTGAAAACCGGGCTACTAAAAAATGTCAGTCTCTCGCACTGATTGTTAATTTGATGGCCCTTGTTACTTGAAAAGTAAAATCTCACCTCAAAAAGAAATTATTGAATACATGAGCCTCCATTTGATAGAATCGTCTATCTTGAAGGTAACAAAAGTGACGTTTTCCTCATTAATCTGGAAAATAAGGCATTTTAAGAAGCAATTTTTAGTGTCGGTGTCACCGATTGCAAAGCCAATTCCCCAGTTCACCCCATTTTTAATTGACGCTGGTCTCCCAAAAACAATCTAAGCCAACACTGCTCAACAAAACCAAGTCCTAAAACCAGCAGTTCAACTGCTTGCTGACTAGGAACATTCTGAACAGAGTGGGTCATTGCTTACATGCAAACAGCACAAACAAACTGCATAAGAGTGCAAAAACACATCAAACTTTACAACAACCCCACTCCCCTGCAATTTAACCAGGCTACCCCAAATGCATACCAGACGATAGCCCCCTGTCTGTGCAACAACATGGCACCCGGCCAGACACAACCCCCCCTTAATTTGAGGGAGACATTGAGCTTTGAAAGACAGGGGTAGCCCCGGTACAAAAACTCAGCGAATCCGCACTCTAGCACAAAGCATAGTCTTTACAACAACCCCACCCCCCTGGAATTTAACCAGGCTACCCCAAATGCATACCACATGATAGCCCTGTGTCTGTGCAACAACATGACAGCCAGCCAGACACAACCCCTCCTTAATTTGAGGGAGACATTGAGCTTTGAAAGACAGGGGTAAGCCCAGGTACAAAGACTCAGCAAATCTGCACTCTAGCACAAAGCATAGTCTTTACAACAACCCCACCCCCCTGGAATTTAACCAGGCTACCCCAAAATTCATACCACATGATAGCCCTGTGTCTGTGCAACAACATGAGACTTAGTTTGACGGAAGCCCCCCTCAAAAAATATTAGCTGGGCCAACGGGGGCAACAGCCCGTCCCTACGGGACGGGCTGTTGCCCCTCAGTAAAATTTTCTGAATTTGCACTGATTTCTGTCAATTCCAGGAAGTTATTTGGAGCCCATGGTTAAGAGGTGAGGGTGGTTAGTCCTGAAGAGCGAGATTGTTATTTTTACACTAAAAGTATCAGGGCTTTAAGCGAATTAAGTTTTGAAAGATTGCCTGCAATGTGCTGGACTTGACTTAAGATTTCAGGCAACCCGGTTTTCAAAACTCCAGGTAGATATCTCCAATTATTGACCTTTCTGCATCTTAACTGTCAATTCCTACTAACATTTTTATTTTTTACAGTGAAAGAGGCATTTGGATGGTGAATCCCTGGAGATAATTATATATATATATATATATATATTATATACATACTGAGAAATACTCACCAAAAAGCTATGTCGTAAATTTTCGTACGCAAATTAGTTATAGCCAATCAGAGGAGCGAACGATGGTTTTCATACGTGAAAAAAACGATACGTCCAATCAGAATAGCGAACGATGTTTTTTCACGTGTGAGAAAAATGATACGTCCAATCAGAAGCCACAGAGGTGTAGGAGTTTCGCGCCAAAATTCCCGCCTTTTATTGCAGCTTGCAGCGCCGCTTCGCACACATTTATTAACGAGAAAAGTTTTACTCAAGGAGTTTTTCTCGCTAAAAAAGTGAAAAACATTTCGGAAATGGAGTGGAATAGTTTCGTTTGTTTCACTGTCGATAAAAAAATACGGTAGAGAGCCGGTGAAACAACAGCGGAAAGGGATAAACAGAACGAGACGTAAGCTTTTGTTGTGCTTTTTGTCGGAGCTACTTTGCCTTTCATTTAAGCTTAAGCTTATATTGAAACCGGCCATTTTACTTAAATTCACTCATTTTCAATTGTGCATTGAGAACAAACAGTTAAGATTACTTATAGTTCTTGGATTAAACCTCATATCCTCACCGTCATTTATGTTTTTAACAAACGTTTTTACTAAAAAGCTGATACTTCGTTTTCGTTGTCATTTTGCGGTAAGTGTGTAGCGGCAAATTTTAGCTTTTTTGAAAGATTTAAAATAAAAAGGCCCGCAAAATGATGAATGACTCAGTATGTATATAATAAACACAATACCACATGGAAAGTGCTTTGTACGGTATTTACGCACTCGTTGTTTTTGTATCAGAAATCTTACTCGTTCGCTGCGCTCACTCGTTCGATTTCTGATACGTCAACAACTCGTGCGTAAATACCGTACGCCAGCACTTTCCATGAAGTATTCTCTATATATATATATATAGTTTTTTTTTTTAAATAGCTTGGTCTTTTGAGAGCTACACCTCTTTTACTGTCACTGAAACCAGTGGTGGCATCGCGGAATTACGGCTGTTTTCTCAGGCTACTTTCCAATTTGTTAACGGATTTTGATTTCACACAGGAAAGCAAGGATGCTAAGCAACAGGTGGAGCAAGAGCAGACACAAATGAACATGGAAATGACTCCATTATTGCAAGATGACGGTGACGTCATTAGAGAGGAAGCCCAGATGACCTCTGAGAATCTCCATGATGTAAACTTTTTTCAATTCATTTCATTTTATACATTAAAATATGCGAGATTACACAACATTTAGTCCTAACTTACCGTTTTTAAGACGTTGCTTATTTAAAATGCGCCTAGAAAAAAGAAAACAAACAAACAAATAAACAAACATCACACCAGGGGCACCCAACGAGAGTATAGTTCAAAACCACATAAACATAGCATTGTTGAACGTACTTTAGTATTTAAACGGTAGATAAAGGCTTATTTTTATCCCCTAAAAATTTTTCATCTGTTCGGATTTCCTAGCTGAAAGTATAGTGATCCGAAAATTATAGGGATCAAAATTTACCTTTTCGAAAATTTCAGCCAGAAAAAGGGCTCCCGAAAATTCTAGGTGACCTTTTTAGGGTAAAAATCCGTTAAAAATGGGCAATTATACGATTTTTTTGAAGTTCGAAAATCCTATACTAGGAGAGGTAGGCAAGCAAGAAATTTGTCAGAAAATGATCCGAAAATTCTAGACCTCAAATCGTCTTCCGAACAGATAATTTTCCGAAAATTGTCGTTGGGTGCCCCTGATCACACTGCCATTTCGTTCGTATATTCCTTCTTCACATAGCACTTCTGTAGTCTCTGTATATTCTCCCCCGACGTTGTCACCTTAAAGCAAAACGAGCCACTGCACATGCAACTGTCAAAAGGCCAGAGCCGCCCATTACTTAATATTCCATTAATTATAGTAATAAACAAATATACTAGTTTCCAATTATTTTCACGCCGTTAGTTATTCAGCCGTTCAAGGTGTTGTTAACTACAAAATAATCTGCTGATGTTTATAATAAACATTTTTCCTCAATTTCCATGTCCATTTGACCCATCTGAGACAACAAAACAGTCGTCAAAGGCACTAACTCGCGGAGTAAGATTCTCGCGCGAGCTTCACACGGCTGAGGGGCGTCCCTTCAGATCTTTCATTCAACCGCACGCGCGCGCTTTCCTGATCTATACATTGTAGACCCTTCTTGACATGTTTTGCACTATTTGTGCATTTAGGATAAGGGATTGGAAGAGTTCACTAAAGAACAGTTGAACATGTCAAACAACCCACCCGTGGAAAGTCAGCACACAGAATCGAAGCCGCCTTTGAGTGAAAGTCTCGAGGAAGATCCACAAGACGAGGAGGAAAGCTTTTCTACTCGACAGCTCTTTAAATTTGCATGGCAAATAGCGAGGGGAATGGTAGCTACTGTATTTGTTTACATGTTATCATACTGTATTTGACTAGAGAGTTAGCCTTTAAAAATGGACGCTGATTTCAAAGGCGAACTGTATGGGGCATATATATATTGAGAAAGTAGAATTTCCCTACCAAAATTTACCTGCCCTCAAGAAAATAAAAGTACCAAGTTTTCTGACAAAACCACTTTTTAGCGCAAAACAGCCAAATCGGGCTAAATGCCATGAAATGAAATCGGGTGGAAAAATCGGCAAAAGACGAGTTTTAGGAAATGAGTTTTTTCTGCAGTTTTGGTATCTTGAAAGCAACCACACGATCTGCCAACACGCTGTTTTACGCCCATTTCGGTTCCTTGCGCTCTCGGTTTTCTTCCAGAGTAGCCTATACCCTCGATCTTCCCACATTTTCATTCATTTAAAGATATTCCCTTGATGTACTCTCGTGACATGAAGCCAACTTCGAAAACCTCGATCGAAACTCAGGTACCTGGGCGTGACTTTTGAAACACTGAAAATACCAGGGGAACCGAGAAACGGCGGCGATTGTACGATGGACAACAACTTAAGAGGACTGAGAAGCAATTCAACCATCGTCATACAAAACATTATAGGAAAAATGCAGCTTGGACGCCAGACTTTTCGTATTAAAAGTTATTAACGGATTTTAATTCGCTGACCATAGTTAGTCGAGACGGGTTTCATTACCATTCCACTTTAATAACTATGGCTCAACTAAAGTCACTTTAATTATTTATTCTACAAAATTTCAAAAGTCAGGAACAACAAGTTAAAGAGAAAACTGAATATTTCGATCGAATCGCTCGAACTTCATTAGCAATGCAAAAATGCCAGGTTATGTACCAAATAGGTTGTCATGTTCCCCCAGGAGAGGATAGTACATGGCCGGGAGGTCCAGTCCCTCGTCCTCATTCACGGAGGGTTTTCTTTCTGCGATTGTAATGGCCTCCTTGACTCGGTAAAAACCTTGATGGTGCCATTTTTGTCAGATAGAACTTTAGCATTGTGGGGGTTGATGTTGTGACCCCCGTTGCTCAACAGTGTTCGAAAACGGCAAAAATTTCACGGGATTGGTGTTCTTTGATCTGGGTACAAAAGGATTTTGGAAGAATATTTTATAAGAATTTTGGCTTGTATATTTAAGTGTTGGTGTCTGAACTGACGGCTAACTGGCTGTTGATCATGGACATAAACTCTTCCTTAAATTAGTTATCTGTCATTATGTGATGCTAAAATTTGATTTCCCTTTCTCTACCTCTACAACTAGAATCATCTTGCCGAAAAAAATCTTGTTCATAGAGACCTTGCAGCTCGTAACGTCCTTGTTGGCCATGACAATCGGGTGAAAGTGTCTGACTTTGGGTTGATGCGACAAATCTATGAAGATGTGAAGGGCTCAGAAAAGTCCAAGAAACTTCCCGTCAAATGGATGGCTCCAGAATCGCTTTATCGAGGCATCTTTACCATCAAGAGCGATGTGTGAGTAGAATAAGACCTTCAATTTAACGCTAGACTATATATCTCATCGTATGAGTCTCGTACTGGATTAACTTACTTTTAATAGTCTTTTCCGAACTGATTTTTTTATCCCGGACGACGTATACGTAATTTTTTCGCGGAATATCTCGGTAAGTTCTCGAACGCCATCTCGTTATGGCAAAGCTTGGGTTAAAATTTTGCCAACTGATTTATATTAGTAGGATTTTGCTGGCCTCTCTAAAACTAGCCTGGAAAAGGCAAAGCGTGAATGTCCTTCCTCAAAATCTTCTTAGCCTTGACCGTCTGCCTATATCGCTCTGTAACCATTTTGTTGTTTTCTGATCTTTTCTTTCCTAGCTGGTCCTACGGCGTACTTCTGTGGGAAATGGCCACACTGGGTATGCATACTTAGAGATTTATTTACTTTAATTACACAACTGCTTGCTTACTTTTGCTCGTTTCTAATAAAAAACACTGACTCATATAATTTTTTGGTCCAGGCCCCCAGTTGTTCATTCCCAGATTCCATCTTTTCCAGCTCTCGCACGTTTGCCTCTTAATTCCTTCACACTTAACATGCTCGCACGAAAAACAATAGGCCGTGTCCAGGTTGCCCTAGACTACGAGTAGTCCCCCATTTTTCCTCAGGGATAGTAGAGCGAGTGAAACGCGAGCGCTCGTGAAAATCACCCCACGCGAGAAAAGGCGACACGCGGCGGGGAGAGAGAAAAATGAAGCCTTTTCTCGCGTGGGGTGATTAGCAAAAATGGGGGACTACTCGTAGTCTAGGGTTTTCCCAACCCACTGTTTCAAAGCGAGGCTAAGTGTGAAGCCATTGATATGAAAATGAGTTTTTTTACTTTCATGCAAAGGTAACTCATTATCACAAGAAAGGTTTTGCACTCGTTTTGAAAGTGAGGGTTTTTGTAACTCGGAAATGGCCTTTCCTGAAGGACTTTGCAGTCTACGACCTGAACAAATAACGTGAAAATGATTGTCAAACTTACTGCCCAGCTTTTTCTGAATAACTGATTTTCTTCTTCTGTTGGATCCAGGAGGCGTACCATACCCTACGCTGACCAACACAGAGCTGTATCGCCTGCTCAGCTCTGGATACCGAATGGAAAAACCTGACATGAGCTCCGATGAAGTGTAAGTTGATCGCTCCAGTGATTTGAGGATATGTTATCATGACAGAATTATAGACAGGACAAAATTTTACTTTAAAAAGAGCTTAGTACGACATTGCCCTTTGAATACGAACAGTTGGTTTCCAGGGTCAAGATCTCCTACTCTCCGCGCCCCGGGGGCATGAAAAGGAAACTCGGACCATGTGAACGAGGCTGTGGAGTTCGGCCCCTGATGGTCACTGATGATGTATACGGCTGGCTCCGCAAGCGAACAAAATGAAGTAAATCCCGCGAGAAAGGAATTGCCCGCGTTCTTTTCCGAAGAAAAACAACCTCCTTCATTGGCATGCTTGTGGGACAACACAGACTCCTCTTCTTTTCACGTACAGTTAGTGGTGATGGGCCTATTAGCCTTTTCCCGCTTCAAGCCTCCACTTGCGCGTGCGCCTGATCATTTTTTCTCTAACTGCTGCTGTGGTGCCAATCAAGGTTGTCCAAAAACGCTTAAATGTACCATATATCCATCTTTAAGGATAATGACCCAAAAACCAAGACGTGAGTTGACAAATCAGAATCTCAGAATTAGTTCTATGACAGACTTTAATGTGTTTGAATACAACACCAGTTTAGTTTTCTTCAGCTCCATATACTCTAAGAGACCTCTAAAATGTCTTAAACAGCTCAAATGTGGTTGATTCTGTGCTGAAAGTTTGTATAGTTACCATCTCTGACCATTTCTCATCCAGCCACAGTCTTTACCTCTCAATTTCTCTTCGATTACCGCTGACTGGCATGGGTTGTTTTTTGCGGTACGTCCCTAGGCCTTATTGCGCCAGGCCGATGCGTTTCGTGTCAAGTGGTCCGAAAGATTTTATCTCGGATGCGTCGTCGAAATGCATTGACCGAGACAGGACTGGAAAGACACTGTACAGGGACTAGGCAAGGTTGTTGTATTTCCTAAACAAAAACATGAACACTAAGGAGCTAATTTGAGAGAATTATAAATCGGTTTGTTTTTAACTGTCTTCGACAGATACGAGTTGATGACAGAGTGCTGGAAGGAAGACCCAAGAGCTCGACCCAGTTTCTACCAGATGATAGAAAAACTGGAGATCATCATGCAGAAGGATGCACCATATTTGGATGTGAACAAGCATGATGAGGCCCATCCATACTATAACGTGCCTCCAAATATGGAGTAACTACTAATAAAGAACGCTACGTAGGGCCGGCGGTTTCTAATTAACCTGAACATTTTATTAACTCGTCAACGGAGATTCCATTTTATAACATGCCCCCCTGATTAAACTTAACCGTACGGTAAATAGCGAAATTAAGCAATTCTTTGAGCTAAGAGTTCGTGTAACAGAAACAAAATTAATACAAAGTATTATGTGAAAATTTCAACGTTTACAGTTCTGATCTTATGGCGATGATTATACATTATGTATGCGTATGAGTTCTAGTGGCGTTACGTGTTCAAAATGCCTCCACATCTGGAGTAACTGCTAATGAAGAATGCTACGCAGGGCGGGTGGTTTCTAATTAACCTGAACATTTTATTAACTCGTCAACGGAGATTCCCTTTTTAAAATGGCCCCCTGATTAAACTTAACAGTACAGTAAATAGCGAAATTAAGCAATTTATGAGCTAAGAGTTTGTGTAACAAAAAAAAAATAATAAAGCAAAGTATTATGTGAAAATTTCAACGTTTACAGTTCTGATCTTATGCGATGATTATACATCATGTATGCGTATGATTTCTAGTTGCGTTACGTGTTCAAAATGTGATACTATAGAAGGAAGAGAAATCTAACATAGAAAGCTCCCTCGGAAAAATTGCCGATCTCCACATGAGATTCGAACGCACAATCCTCCGAGTTCTAGATCGGATGCTCCAGGTACTGGGCGCGGCTTCTGGAGTGCTACGGTGTTACGTGCTTGCAACGCAGGCCTATTTTGTGGGCCGGCAAAAGCTGTTTATTTATGTCGATATTACCGTTGACAACTGAGGAAAATTGGAGAGAATAGTAACAGCAACACTTGGGGTTTCCCTCGGAGTAGATGGTGGGGCAAAAGAAGGAGGCGAGGGATAGGGCGGGGAGAAGTTTTCTCTTCTTACCTCCGCCCCTTCCCTGCTCCAACTTCTCGACTCCTTTGAAATTCAACATGGCAGTTATATATGGGAGCAGACATTCGCGCACCCGAAGAAAACGCCTGTAATACAGGCTATAATTTGAGACAGGTTACCTGGTTATTGACAGGTTATTTGGATAGGTTTATGAGCTGCCTGTTAGCAGAAACTCCATTGCCACCAGTAGTAGATCAGTTGGAAAGACACCAGAAGGAACTTCATTATCCATCACATTTATTGAATGTAGGTAATTCTCTCAGGCAAGAAGCCCTAGGAACTGTCCCTAACTTTCCTACTGCTCTGAGAGGATCCTTTCATTATAGGGACACAACAATCGAGTCAGGTATTCTCTCGTCATTCGTGCGTGGTAGGCGCTCGAAAGCTAGAGAAGTCGCGCGGAAGTTTGACAACGCTATGAGTGCACGTCCTTCCCTTCAAACTTCTGCCGACTTTTCGAAGGTCTCAAAGATGTAGCCCATGGCGTCCACTTTGATAACTTGAGAAAACAGTCACCATTTCGTGATGCCACCAAGTCCCCTCGAAATAACGTCCGAGGAACACCTGCAGAAATTCCATACTGATGACGCGTCATTACTCAGACCTGGGTAGTGCTTTTGATTGGTTGAAGCAAATTTCCCTCGCAGAACGACCAATAAGAAGCACTACCCAGATCTTAGCAGTGACACGTCATCAGTATGGAATTTCTCGTGTTCGTTCCTCAGATGTGATTTGGCGGGGAAACAAGCCATGGCGTCGCGAAATATCGGCTATTTTCCCGGGCTACCATTCTGATAAGAGTTCCCAATAAAGACTCGGCTTTGGCAGATATGTTTCAGGAACCATCCTACGCTGCAGAAGATTCTGATTTGGTATCTTCTTTTCCCTTTACCAGGGACGGTTTCTTTCGCCTGAAGTCAATCCGGATTTCTATTAGCCCGCGTAACTGTTGGTTCCTTTCCAAAGTGCATGAAGCGTGCGAATTAGGCATAGTGTCTCTCTCGCGCTTGTATCCCAAGAAACAACTACCACAAAGACATGCGCACTTTTGGATTTTCTCATAAAAGACAAATCCAAAATCAGATTTCCTTTCCAAAATTTTTCCTTGAATCAGCTCTAAAAAGCCAAAAGCCACAGGAAAAATATTAATTTTTAGTAGTTTCCAAGTGCCAGATAGTTTAAACCATTCTAAGAATTTGTCATTTCGGGCTATGTAATGCTATTAAAAAGGGTTGAAAAAAAAATAAAGTAAGCTAACAGTTGATGAATTGTATTTTCATAAATATTGGCTTCGAGGTTTGGCGGTGATAAAACAAAAGAAATGTATTAATAATTCATTACTGAGCCTCAAGATAATTTCTTTTGCAGCCAAGTATGAATTTTAATGTATCGAAATTGGTCTATTTTTTAATATCTGCGATGTGATTCCCTTCCCTACAAGGCATTGCCAGGAGCGCTGTCTGCTAGGGCCCAGTACCCAGAGGTATAGATACAGATACAGAGGAACGTTCTTTATAGCACATGTGTTAGATAATGAAGATTTGAGTACTTTTCCAGTCCTTTGATATTCTTTGTTTAGTTCAATGTAGATAAGAATCTCGAGGTATAAACCGAAATTGGAACAACAATCTGACAAATCTGACCCTTCTGACTATGGTACTACAAACAACAGTACCCTGTTCCACCACCCTCCCCGCCCACAAAATATACCGTAAAAACTATACGGGAGGGGATATCCTCTCTTGAACACTTCCCATCCCGGCCTCACCATCGCGTACCTGTGCTTAGTTTTCGCCTACAATCAGAGAAATTAACGAATCCAGCGATCGACCTCCAAATGTCACACGGAACAATTAGACGTTGATAAGCGAAAGATCACTTGACGTTATATTAAAACCGTGTTAGAAAGAGGTGCATTATGGGCTATAGTGGGACTTAAGCGCTGCAAAAAAATGCTTGCAGTTGAGTCAGGTCAAGCGTACCCGCCTAGATATAATGAATCAATTATTTCAAAAATCAGTCCTTTAGTCGTTGCCCTAACCAGAATCAAAACCTCATGACCCACCCCCTCTCTGCACCGGCCCCCCCCCCATACTTTTTGACCAGTCCCTTACCCGCGAATGTTGAGCGACAACCGCCGTTTACAGGCAGGTTTAATGAATTTCCAGCTTCAAAATTTTCACCTATATGACTAATCACTCGAATAACGTTGTGTGTCGTAATAAGCACCGATTCCAGAGCTTTGGCTTCAAAATAAAAGTTATTCCTTTAGAAATGTGGCAACACGGTTCTTCCATCTAGGGCATAGGTATTAATTACGGAACACTTGCCTAGAGTTGGTAATATCACGAAAAATTGAAAACATTTTCTTTTTATTGTTTGTATGGTCTTGCATTAATTTCGTATTTAGTCTCACCAAGTAAAACCTTGACAGCAACCACCCGAGGCTCCGTCTTGCTGGATAACAGTTTCCGTTTTGAAATCTCTGTACTAAACACCTCTATCCCAACTCTTTCCCAAAGCATTGCTTTGCAAACCACACTGAACGCTCCTCGCCCCGCTCCCCTTCGTAATATGTTAGGGTAAATTTTTGCTCAGTCTGCTTCATTGTATGCGCTTTACTTCGTAATCATCAATATTTATTCAGTTTATTCTATTTATTTCGGTGTTGGACATTTTAACTTTATTCAGGGGTATATATTATATAAACAAATTTGTTTTTAGGTCGGTTCAGAAATCAAAAGCTCCACCGTATCTCAAATATCTTTTGTTAAGGGACAAAGGATGGTGTTTACAAGCTGTCAGAACAGCTGGACACACTTTAGATTTTACTACCTAACCTTTGCTGGTCAGTTAAGTCCTTTGCTAAAAGACTTTTGCACCGACCTTTTTGGTGTTGGGATCAATCAAAAATAGAAGTTGGACGCACGGTTAATTGTAGGAAACATCATAAGTGTAGTTTCAGTCTTTCACAATTAAAGGTTTAACTGAGGTTACAAAACACCTCTTCAAGCTTATTTACGAAACACGGAAACAAGTTCGAGAGATAGAAATCATTACTTCCCTTTGTAGCTGATGTTAGGGCTTGTTTAGTCTCACACAGGTTGATGTTTAATGATTCAAAGACAGAATTTCTCATCATCGGTTCGTCGCAGCAAGCTGCAGCAGTTAACTATGTCTAAGGTTACCATGGCTTCAATTAAAGTTGGTGACTGTGACATTCAACCCCTTATTAAAGCATGTTAGAAATCTTGGCACATGGTTTGATAACCATATGTCTATGAATACTCATATAGGAAAGGTGTGTAGTAAGGCATTTAGGGGGCTTTACAATATTAGGCAAATTAGGAAATATCTGTCTGCAGAATCAACAAAGTGTTTAATTCATGTGTTTGTTACATCACATTTAGATTATTGCAACGCTCTTTTGTATAAGCTTATGCAACATCAATATGACCGACTTCAAAAAGTTCTTAATGCGGTGGCTCGGGTTACATGCTTAATTCCTAAGTTTGCCCATATTACTCCGGTACTTATATTAGGGAACTACATTGGTTGCCAGTGAAATTTAGAGTAGAATTTAAGATTGCGCTTTTAGTTTTTAGCTCATGGATGACGTAGTCATGCCATGGGCTTTTGGGGGCACTCGAATGGCACTCGATCACTCACTCACTCACTCACTCACTCGATTCTCATTAATTTATTCATTAAAGTCAGATTAAACACGTTACTCCTACCTCCCTTAGTTAGTATTACTTTTTTTCCAAGTGCCTTTTACGTACATGTTTGAAATATTCTAGAGGGTACTAGCAAGGCGAATTTTTTTTCCCAATTATAGAGATGGGTTTTGTATAAATAACAATATTTTAAAGAACACTGATAATATCATCCGCAAGAAATGGACTTAGAATTGTTAAAAGGACATTGAAATAATTGAGCGTGAATCATTGTTGTATATTTGGACGAATTGTGCACATTTGTTCCCGATATTGTACTTGATATGGAGAAGATGCCATGAGATGCGATCAACAGGAGTGCGAAAGAGCTATTGCAGCCTGACGATGGGATTT